ATTCTTTCCCTGCTAATTGAGCATTTAAACCTACACGTACCACCAGTCATCCAGGAAAGAACAATAAGATAGAACTTGTCTCGAATTATCCATGAATCAAGAAGAAAGCAATCCAGTCCTGTACATGCAAACCGGACCAAAATAAATGATCATACATGATCATACACTTAACTGCCCACACAGAAATTACTTCCATGAAAGAATTCAGTAACAGTGGTGCCTTAGAGGGCAAGAGATGTTTTCCTTCTCTCCTGATCATTTATTCAAGCTACTGTATAAAGTTCTTTCCTTGGCTTGCTGGTTTATTTCTTCTTCTCTTTTCTTTACAGTGTTTTATGCATTAAATAGACCCTTGTGCATTTGGATCTACTTGTGAAGATTAAAAATACTTTTTAAAAAGAAAAAAACCCAGCTCTGATAACTGCTTGTAAGTTACATCCCCACGTGTATAGAATAGTTAAATTAGAAAACGATAGTATGCACCGTGTGTGTTTTCAGTGCCACCGAGTTCCAGAAACTTACTTTCAATTAAGTCTAGATACTTTGGTATTCCGGTATTCCCGTTTCACTATTGCTTCCATCCACTCCCTTGTGCATGCAATTCTTAAGTCTAGAGCTCTAAATGGCTAATTACTTTTGCTTGTAGCTGATGGGAGTAGAAAGGGGATTGGCATGCCATTAAAATCTTTCCAGGAGAAGTCTTTATAGCTGCCTTCTATAATTTCCCATAAGAAATCTGGTTATACTGGTTGATTTCAATAGGAGAATTCTTTGCCCAGAGGCACCAGATGAGTAATATGCCATGTATTTCTTATCCCTCTGCTAATATGATAATAAGCACATTCAAAAAAAAGGCAATGAGCTGTTTACAATGCCTGAGCATTCCTTTCACTTAAAACGTCTCAGGACTGGAGAGGTTAAAACATTGGAAGGAAGCATGCTTGACTCAGAAGATTCCTTTCCCCTTTTAAATTCTGCTTGGCTTCCTTCCCCCACGTAAAAAAAAAATAGCAATGCAAATAAAAGTATGTCTCTGAGAATGATGCTCTGTCCACAGTTGAAATGGTTGCTGTCCAAAAACTCTGAACTTCCAGTGAAAGGAGGGGCTCCACCAGGCCAAAGTAACCACCCTTACTAAAAGTAATTTTGTATTCCATTTACAATGATTTTGGAGTTTGATGCTTTTTTTTTTTACAGAACCATAAAATATACTCTGGATTTAGGATTGATTGCCTTTCATTCCTAACTAAATTGGCCCATATTAAAACCCAAGTCCGCACAGGATTATTTTCAATGAAGTATTACTGCATTTAGTGGCATTTGTCTCCCTGTGATCTTAGGGCAAGTTTTTAACTGGAGGAATGATAGAGCAGCAGTTTAAAAGAAACAACGAAGGTGGTGAAATTCTCCGGAAGAGAATGGCTATAAACAGAAATATATTATGAGAAGTCCCGTCTTGGGTGGATAAATAAGAATGGATTTTATCTTGAAAGAAACGCTGATGTTTTCAAAGTCAGCCTATTTCCTACCTGGAATACTACAATTTAAAAAGAAAGAAAGAAAGAAAGAGAGAGAGAGAGAGAGAGAGAGAAAGAAAGAAAGAAAGAAAGAAAGAAAGAAAGAAAGAAAGAAGGAAAGAAAAGTAGCTACATACCATCTATTTAACATTTCTGTGCAACTCTTTTTTTTTAAGGATCAGAAAACCTCAGAAATCAATCGCTA